TTGCTTCTCTCTCTCCCTCTGCTGCTCCCCCACTGCTTGTGCTTGCTCACTGTCTCTCTCTCAAGGAAATAAAAAAAATCTTAAAAAAAAAAAGATTTTATTTATTTGAGAGAGTGCGCATGAGCGGACGGGGGTGGGGGGAGGAGGGGCAGAGGAAGAGGGAGAAGCAGATTCCCTGCTGAGCAGGGAGCCCGATGTGGACTCAATCCCTGGACTCTGGGATCATGACCTGAGTCGAAGGCGGACGCTTAACCAACTGAGCCACCGAGACGCCCCTGGAGACATTTTCTTTCTTTTTTTTTCCCTGGAGACATTTTCTAAACAAAGTTATTTCAGAACTCATTTTAGGAAAGATTTTTTTCCTACCTGAAATATAAGGGGTTGAGTTAATTAATGCAAGAACAACTAACAAGTAGCTGAGTTTAGAATATTAGAATGAAATTCTAATTTTAATCATCTCTATATAAGTTTTGGTAGTTGCTTCCACATCTTGGTAAGTAAAGGCAAAGTGAGTGGTGCGCTTTATGAAATGGTGTAGATGCTGGGCTTTGCTTTACCATCAGAACCTTGAACATGAGGATGCAGTACCAGTACTGCCTTTGTTTTCATGGGAGGAAGGCTCTTGTTGGAGTCCTGGCTGAGCAGGGCTGCAGTGAGGGCCGTTCTACCACCACTGAATGAACCTACATGAAATAAGTTGGTGGTACTAGCAGCCCTTTGCCCAGCATCATCTGCCCTGAATTGCCAGGCTTCATACATAGTTCTCCGGCTGGGTGTTTGCAGCACTGTTACCTCCTGGGAGAGAGCGTGTGTGGTCAGGCTTCCATGAGGACCAGCTGGTTGATGGATGTTTAGTGTTAGGTTAGACTAGGTTACCGGCCACTAGCATTCTCCCCCTCCACAGTGTCATTGTGATAACTTCTTAGGAGTCGCCATCAGGGCACCTGGGTGGCTCAGTCAGTTAAGTGTCTGCCTTCTGGCCCGAATCATGATCCCAGGATCCTGGGATCGAGTCCCATATCAGGCTCTCTGCTCTGCAGAGACAGAGATTTTGCTTCTCCCTCTGCCCCTCACTGGGCTCATGCTCTCTCTCTCTCAAATAAATAAAAATCTTTAAAAAATTAAAAAAAAAAATCTCCATCAAAGCCGCCAGGAGTACATATCCCACTCGCTGGAAAAATGAGTCAGATGCCAGGTAGTCAACCTGAAGCAGATCTACAGAATCAGCATTTCATTTCCATTTTCAGGATCTCCAGAAATGAGCGTGTGTGATGGTAGGGCTTCCGGCCATTTCATCCATCGTAGAGAGAAGGGAGCCCCGGCCACTAAAATGGCTGGGTGAGGTAACGTGCAAGGTCATTATTGTGAAGCAGCATTTTTAGATGTTCAGGTACAAATGGTTCTCAGCCATGCTCAGTATCCCAGAAGGCTTCTAGAAGCTTATTTAATTCACCTTAGTAATAGCAACTGTATCTGAAGGCAGGCATTTTCATGCTTTCAAAAATGCTGGCAGAGAAAAGCCAGAAATGTTGTCCTGTTAATTTGCCATGTGAAAGCATAACACTGTTCAGAGTGGTTCCCCGGACATTCTCATTGGGAGCCGTCAGCAGCCTCCAAAGAAGCGAGAAGCCTGTTGTGACAGGGTTTGTGACGTCAGTGTGGACACTGTGATTAACCGTCGGTGCTCTCAGTTGCTAAATTCACCTTCTAGCCAAACCTGGTATTTTTGAGATTTTCAGAAGACTATGTTAGTTATGTGATTAGTGTTTTATTTCGATTCACCAACCAACCATAGACAATTGCTCTTCTGTGGTTTCCAAGATGCTCAGACAAGGCAGGTGGCTTTTGTTTCCACACTAGTAATGAAGCAGCACTGATATGTTTTAGTAAATATTGACCCATTTTAATATTAATACTGTGATAAGATGTATTTGGGGGCATTCAGTTCATTAAAATTATACTCTAGGCTTTAATAACAATGACAAAACTCATCTATTTTTGGATACACACTGTCTTACCGAGGAACCTCTTTGTTTCTAAACTTTTGCTTCTGTGTGGTGGGTATTAATGATCAAAGGGGGTTGAATTGTCTGAGAATCCTAATATGGAAAGTGCTTCATCTGGAACTTAAGGGCTTGCTGAAGCTCCTTTAAATTTGAGCTTCCCTCCTACCTGCTAACTTGTCCATCTCCATTGTATTTTATGAAAAATTCATTGCTGATTACACGATATTTTAGAAAATTTAGAAAATACAGGAGGAAAAAAAAACCTGTTGCTATGATTTTGCAGTATTTCCTTCATCTTTTTTCTATATATATATATTTACTTATTATTTTTTAATAGGGGTGTTTGTGTTTCTTTTGGGACAGTTTTGGGTTGTGAGGGACAGAAATCTAGTTCCAAGAAACATAAGCAAAGGGGCAATTTCTTGTAAGGCTTTCTGAGCCCAAGGACGGGAAGTTGGCCTGAGGAAGAGTAGAAGCCAGGGCACACGCTCTCCCTCTGTCAGCTGTGTTTCTTCTCACGCGTCTTTCTCCATTTCAGTCTTTGTCTCTCCCCCATCCAGCAAACATTCACGGAAATCTCCCAAGTTTAATTGCTTACCAGTTCAGTGACCCAGAGAGTTCAAAGCAATTCTTGTGTCATCCTAAGACCTATTGTACAAAATGCCTGTTCCTTGGGGAGCCATTTGACAGGTGGAGGGGGGTTCAGCAGGCCTTTCCACCTCTTGGTCCCCAGGTGTGCATACTCTTCCCTTTTTATTTATTCAGTCTTTAGACAGCCCCCACCTGACGTGGTCCCACTGTCCCCCATCAGCTGCAGAGCCATTTGACCTTCTCAGTGGGAGATAGCCCTCAGGCTCACTGAGCTACAGCCCTCAGTGGTCTTGTCCTTGGGCCACTGTTCTGCGGGCCCATGTGCTCTACGCAGTGAGTGTTTCTCTGGTTCAGGTGTGAGCAGGTTCAGATGAAGCATGTCACCATCTATACCCTATAGGCTAAGAGAATTTCATCCCCAAAACACTGGGTATGCAGGACCTCTGGATTCCCTGCTAGGGCAGGCACCACCCTTGAGGCTTCTGTTTTCCCAGCCAGGTAAAAAGCAGACTCTTCTTCCTCAGACTTGAGGCTTTACACTGAGAATAGACTCAGCAGGCAGTGAGGAAGCTTGCTTTTGGTTCTCCCATTCCAGGTGAGCGGGCCCTGGCTCTGGGCAAAGGAAAGGGTGCAACCTCCTCGCCTCTAGGCCAGGAGCAGGCGAGGGAGGAGAGAGTGAGGTTCTAGCAGCTGCTTTGTCCCCTCTGCCAGTGGGTCTCCACAGTGGAGGAGGAATACAGGGACCAGGTGTTTGTCCTGCTATCTCGGGCTGCTTTGAAGGGAGCCATTGCGTTTTCCTTCTTAAGGGATTAACTAGATGCCATCCTGGTTCTTACCAAGAGTGGGCAGCTATTTTGGGGTCAGGCTGCCATGCACAAGTAACCCCCCAGTCTTGTTTAGTGCTAAAAGCCAGCATATTCCTGTATTTTAAAAATTTTGTGCCAAAATCCAAACTCTCACAGTATAAGCAAGTTGTGTTGGCCTGTTTTTAATTTAAGACCCACAGGAACCAGATAATTTGTGGGACTATATGGTGACAAGGAGAAAATCTTACTACAAGGTGGCATTGCTGAATGGGCCCAGACTCAAAGGGGAAACCTTACCAGCTGTCACCTGCACATGTGTGCCTTGCACGGGTGTACATGCATGTGCGCACACAGCTGCTTCCATGGAAACCACGTGGGTGAGGGTACAGTTCTTAGCAAAGCTGGAGGATAAGCAAACCAAAAAAATCTGCCCAGTAGAATCATCATCACAGTGTACATTGAATTTTGGATTCGATATTTTTCACGTGAAGACCGGTAGAAGCATTTTTGTACCTTGCTGTAAATTTTCCGAAGTGCTATTTTTAATGATTACATAATATTCCACTGAATGTATGTGTCATAATTTATTTCAGTCTTTAAGATATTGGAAATTCAGATCTTTCCAGTTTTTGTGTTTGTAAATGGGATACAATGAGCATCATTGTGCACACGACTTTTTCCATATCTGGAACTGTTTAGGATATAGAAGTGGAATTATAGGATCAAAAATCTGAGCACTTTTATGCTTTCTAGAAAGAGTGCACCAACTTATAATTTTCATTGCCACCAACAATGGATGAGAAAATAAATTTCACCACCTTTGGCTATTTTCTGTAAAGAGAGTGCATGTTTTAACTCATTAAGCATAAAAGATACATTTTTATTTCAATTATATTTTGATGATAATGAAGAACAATTTGGGTTATGTTTTTCATATATTTTATAACCTGTCTTTTTTGAAATCTTGGTGTTTTATTATTATATAAATTTTTTATATAATGAGAGCTGTTTTTTCCTATTTTGCTTTAAATGCTTTCCCCTAATTCTTTGCCTTTTTAAAATTCTGTAAGTGCACGTGGGTATATGCGGGTGTGTTGGCATTCTTCTTTACCATGGAGCCTTGCAAGATGACCAGGTTTTAGAAAGTGAAGTGTAACCAAGAGAAGGAAGTCCATTAGAAAGCTGAGCATACTTTCTTCCTGTTTCAGTGGAGGCTACCCATGGATTATTTCAGAATCCCCATCTTTGTCATATCAGGTTATAAGCCTTTCTGTCTGCAGGAAGGATTGCTTCTTAGATAGTATAAAGAGACGTGGGTCTAGTCCTGACTCGGCTGTTGTCTAGACATGGGCCCTTGGACGTAGGCTCTGTAACCTCGACGTCTTTGTCTGTGAGGTAGTGGATTTTAGAAGGATAACTTTTAGCATGTCCTGGGGGTGGGGGTGGGGTCTGTGTGTGGTTGTACATGCCCAAGATGAAGAATCCTATTGAACATGAAGATTCTTCTACATCTCATTGCAGATTTTTGGAAGTCCCAGCACAGTGACACTTCCTGAAACCTTGTTGTTTGTGTCAACTCTGGATGGAAGTTTGCATGCTGTTAGCAAGAGGACAGGCTCGATCAAATGGACTTTAAAAGAAGGTAATTTGGATTTGGTCCTTGGGTGACAAGGGCATTTGCTCAGCTGCTTCCGAGAAAGCATATGCCAGAAAAAGAGAAAAACAGTTACACATTTTTAATAAAATAAAAAAGGATAGTGGAGTCAAGGAGAGGAGAGAGAATTACACTCAGAGGCGCGTTTACAGCTTGAAGGGATCGTTCACCAGATACATCAACCGAAGAGGCAAGCTTTATCTTTTTTTTTTTTTTCTTTCCAGATTTCATGTTTAAGTGGCTCTAGGCTTTTCTATTAATAGTTCTGGCTGGTAGGTCTTTCACAAAGACATACTCCATTAAATTTTTTTAAGTTCTACCTAATGATTAGAATCTTATAATAATTATAAGAACTATCTTCTGTAACCTCAAATTACTCATTTGTTTTTATAGAGGCTGAAATACTTGAGGGCTATAAAATTTGATATTCATCCAAGTTAGCCACTTTATTGGGTCTTTACATTGAAGGAAGTGAAAGACTGAGCTTGTTTTCTCATTTAATCTGCCATACCTCCTTTTTTATGATCAGGTCTTCCTGGTGATAGTTAGCAGAGTGGAGTCCGACAGCTAGGAAATTGTATTTGATTTCCAAAGTAATCTTCGTGGATAAAGCCATGCAAATCCAAGGATTTGGGGCTTTCAGAGTCTCTGTTATTCTGTCCAGTAATAATTCTGATTTGGCTTTAGATAGGGTGTGACCAACATGTTCTCTTTCGTCACTGATCTGTGACTCATTATTTTCATGAGCACAGCAAATGTTTTTCCTTTGATAATAAAATGTTCCAAAACACTGTTTTAGATGGAAAAATATTGGCATATGTCAGAAGGGCACACATCATTTTATTAGTTTGACAGCAAACCTAGTTACCAACCAGAGATAATGGCAGCTGGGGTACCACAGACCACCTGCCTCACCTGTCTGGGTCCTGCTTGGATCAGCAAGAACCATAGGCAGCTGACAGGACCAGCTCTCTCGGGAGTGAGTGGCCACAAGAACACTATAGAACCGGCATTTGGCATTGCATTACAAGCTCCCAGAATGTTATCCGTACTGTCTCTCCTTCATATTTCAGCCTTTTAACATTTTTTATTTAAAAATTTTTTAAAAAATATATTCATTTGAGAGAGAGAGCATGCGCGAGAGCACAAGCAGTGGGGAGGGTCAGAGGAAGAGAGAGAAGCAGACTCCCTGCTGAGCAGGGAGCCCAACATGGGGCTTGATCCCAGGACCCCAGGATCATGACCTGAGCCTAAACCTTAAGTGCTTAACCGACTAAGGCACCCAGGCAACCCGCCTTTTAGCGTTTTTAAAACAAAAGCACAGTTCTTTAAATTTTCACAATTTCTGATTTTGTCCAAAGGTGAAATCATCAAATCCTCAACACAAGGACTGAGATAAACATTTTTACTGTTCAATGTTAGGGCTGGGCCCTCAGTCTCAGCATTCCCAGGCAGGGCATTTTTGGCCCAAGCTACTTCATTCTTCTGCTTTGTTTTTCCCTGCATGTATTGTTTTAAATTGATCTTGTCGAAGTCTTAATTTCTACAGGTAGCCTTGACTGTATCTGGCAAAACTGTGTCTCACCTCGTTTGTTACTTAGTCAAACATAAAAATCTGTCTCTTCTCGCCCATACTTTATTTTTTATTTTTTTTAAGATTTTATTTATTTATTTGACAGAGAGCACAAGCGGGGGAGCAGCAGGGAGCCCGATGTGGGGCTCGATCCCAGGACTCCCAGGATCATAACCTGAGCCGAAGGCAGCCGCTTAACCGACTGAGCCACCCGGGCGCCCCTCTTCTCTCCCATACTTTAGAACTTAAAGAATTGTTCTCTCTTTTACTTAATTAACGTGTGTTTAGAGAATCTGGTCTGTGAAGGATACTTTATAGGGCACAGAGAAGAAAAAGCCCATCCTTGCCCTCAAGGAGCCTGCAGCCTGATAGGGGGAAATGACAAGTACCACAACTTGAACACGGAGCCAGGGTTTGTAAGGGAGGTGGTAGGGGCTACAAGGCCTGCAAAAGGAGCGAGGGAGGCAGCAGGTCTGGGGTGTGGGGACAGGTCCTGTTAAGGAGGAGCTTAAGGATAGAGGTGGTGGGAGAGAAGCTGGAGGGGATGTTGAGCCCTATGGGTAGCATCAAGGCTTTTGTATTTGAGTGAACAGGAAGCTGGGACCATTAATGTGACTGAGCAGATGAGTGACTCAACAGGTTTAAACCTTTAATCCTGCAGCAGAGTGTGGGAGTGTGGGCTGGCGACAGGGAGGCCAGGGCTGTAGGGCAGACCTGAAAAGGGGGGCAGGGGGAAGGGAAGAGGAAGAGGTGGGACAGAAATATAATCAGTAGAATCCAGCAACAGATTAGGGAGGCAGAGCAGGGAGATGTTAAAAGACACTTAGAGGGAGAACTTGAGAAATCTCAGTAAGGTCTAGTAATTTCAAGTAATACTTAATATGTTCTAAGTCTCATTGTTTTTCTGAGAATGGACTGGCTTTTTTAGTTCAATTCAGTCCTGGATACCAGTAGCTGTATAAAATATATAATATATATTTCCACACATCTGTGTACTGTGTCTATTACAGTATATATGTATGTATTTCTACACAAAGATTAAAAGTGGTAATGTATAGAGACCCTGAATTTTTAATTTGGTTTTAATCTTGCAGTTGTGACTAAAGATTTCAGAATTGGTATTTCTAAGCCATTAATCTGTAAATCCCCTATAAACGTAACCCCATGCTGTTCTAGGCCCTGAGGATATGGCAAGTGAACAAAACAGACAAAATCCTGCCCTCCTAGAGCTTTCATTCTAGTGGAAAACAGACAAGGAAATAAATTATGTGGTGGTGATAAGAGCGGATTTTATTGAAGAAAAATAAAGCAGGGAAGTGGAATTAGGGAGCACCAGGTGTTGGGGTGGGGAGCTGCAGTTTTAAGCAGGGATGGCCCCACTGAGAAGGCATCATTTGAGCAAGAACTCAAGGTGGCAGGGGAGTCTTTAGGCAGAACATAGGGGTGAGGTGGGAGAGTCCTTGGTATGGTGGAGGAAGCACCTTGGCGTGGCTGGAGGGGAGTCAGGAGCAAAGGAGAGGAAGAGTAGTGGGAGATGAGCTCAGAGCACCAGTCACGCAAAGACACAGTGCTGTCTTCACATACTGTTTATTATAAAAATGCCCCCGCTACTGTCCTGGAATGAAATGTATAAGACAGTAACCTACACACACAACTTCAAAAAGAAATGTATGTATTACCCAGCTAGTAATCTAACACTGGGATAATAGAAAAGTAATTTTTACTCACATATATGTGATTTAACACGTAAATGCTCTCACATGGTGACACTCCACTTCTGAGTGAATGTGGTGCCTGCTAATGCAGACTGATCAAAACACCAGGATACTTACAGTGACTGGATTTCCAAGATGGTGGACTGTTCTTGGTAATGCTCCAAACCAAAGCAGTGTGACCGTAACCTAATTTATACAGTAGTTACATTCTGAGAAGATTAGTTGTATAAAATTATGCAAAAAGTGCTTTTGTGCTTTTATACAAGTGAGGTTATAGGCTCAGGGAGTTATTAAGGGTTTTTGGTCTATGGGAGAGCCTGACAGACATCAGGGCAGTGTATAGATTTGGGATGATCCTTGGCTCTGCAGTGCTATCTGCCCCATCCCCCCCACCCCCAGTCCCTGCAACCACTAAGAAATGCCCTCACAGATTTCCTGAGTACCAGCAAGCTGTGCCCTCCTGATAGAGCTCTAGGGCCTGGTGGCTGGTATGAGGATGTTGGCCTTTTTGAAGCCACCATTGGAGATAGCTGAGCAGAGGAGTGACATGTCCTGGTACTACAGACTGATGTTTGTGCCCCTCCAAAATTTACATGGTGAAGCCTTACCCCACCATGTGATAGTATTTGGAGGTGGAGCTTGGGGGATTTAGCTTAGATGAGGTCACGAGGTCGGGGCCCCCCATGATGGGATTAGTGACCTTATGAGAAAAGGAAAAGCCCAGAGCTCTTTCTCTCTCCCACCGTATGAGAACACGGCGAGAAGGCTGCCATAAGCAAGCCAGGAACAGGACTCTCACCAGAACCCAACCATGCTGACACCTTGAACTTGGACTTAACAGCCTCCAGGACTGTGAGAAATAAATGTCTGTTGTTGAAGCCACGACGGCTGTGGTATGTTGTTGTGGCAGCCCACGCTGACTAAGACACCTGGCTTCCACTTCACAGGGTCAGCAGGTGCTGTTGAGACTGAACTGATGAGGCCAGGAGGAAGCTGGACCAGGTGGGGGCTACTGCACCAGTCCAGGCAAGGGAGGCCACGGTTTTGGGCCTGAGTGGCAGTGGGGAATCAGAGTCAAATGGAAGAAACTTGCTAATGCAAACAGAGCCCTGTAACTCCTCAGTCTGGGGTTATGCAGAATATATACCTGTTATTCCATTTCATAGTTTCCTGACTGTTTACTCGTTTCAGGGGCCAACAAACTGGGAGAGTTCTGGTCTTTTCTTTCCACAGATTGGTTTTGGCAGGTGCTTTTGTTCTTCGCCCAAACACGTGTTGCTGTTCCCAGAACAGAAGAAATGGAGACTTCTTACACCACAGCAGCAAACTGCACCTAGTGCAGAAAACGGAGTTTTGTTTTCAGAAGCTAATTTGAGTTGTGACATACCAAGTGAGGTGTGATCTTTCTAGGCTGTGATTTTGTGATTGTAGCAACACCAGAAACTGTCTGTCTTTGTCTGAAATTTCACCAGTGAAGACAGTTGAGTGTGTTTCCTTTCTGCACTTTCAGCCCAAATGCAAACAGAAAACATTGCTGCCCTGTTTGGTGTTAGATTGGTTTTCTAAAGCTTGCTTTGGCTTGGTGAGGGCAAAAGGATTTTCTTTGGTGTCTCCAGGGCTGGCTTAAGGCTTCTTGCGTTCACCTTGAAATACTGGTTATTAAAATTCACTAGATAACTAGGATTATTTGAAAGACTAAA